CAATTAGCAAAGAAGAATGCTTATGAAGGTCCAATACTCCTGTATAAAAGATGCTCATAATTAAGAATCTGTGTGCTTGTTACGTGAAATTATTCCGCTTGCACCTTGTATTGCTAGCAATAAATCTTTATACTTTCACCCCTGGTATCTTTATTGGCTTTTGCATACCGGGCACGATCCCAGACTTGAGCTGGGGCTCAACAAAAGTACTAGTTAGTAGATGGCAACTTGGGCAGCAGTGACCACAAGGTGATCGAGTTCAGGATCCTGGGGAAAGGAAGGAAGGAGAGCAGCAGAGTAAGGACCCTGGACTTCAGAAAAGCAGATTTTGACTCCCTCAGGGAACTCATTGGCAGGATCCGCCGGGAGTAGGGTTACCATACATCTGGGTGTTCCCAGACATGTCTTTTTGGACCCTCCAATCTCTAGTCAGGCAGTTTTTTATCATCTGAACCAGTGTCCAGGAGTTTGCTCTGCTATGCTGGCCGGAGCAGGGGGAGTGCGATTGGAGGCAGTGGGCATATGTGCGTCTGTGCGCGCACATGCACGTTGCCATCATGCATCCAGGCAGGGTGGTGGGAACAGCTTCAGCAGCTTGATGCAGGTAAGTCTGAGGGAGACCAGGGGTTGGAGAGCTAGGGTTTGGGGACTGCCCAGGAGGCTGTGGGGGTGGGTGTGTGGCAGGGGTGTGTGGAGGGGATGGGTATGCAAGGGACACTAGGAGAAACTGCCTGGGTGCTGGGGCTGTGGCAGGGCAGGCCCCTTCCCTCTCCAGTGTGGGAAAGGGGATGGGGGGCCCTTTGAGGGCAGCAAGGAGCTCTGTGGCTGGACTGGGCACTTGGGCCAGACCAGCTAGAAGATGCTTCCCGGAGTGGGGTGTAGTCAGGCCACCTAGCACGGTGCAGGAGCCCTAGCCCAGGGTGGGGGGTGCCATAGGTATCCCCTCTTCCCTCTTACTCGCAATGGGGCTGGACTCACTCTGTTGCTGCCGGCACAAATTGGAGCCACCATGCTCTGGCTTGGTTGGGATGGGGGCAGCTGGGGGCCCCCTCTGACAGGGCTGGGGGGAGCATAGGGCTGCAGGTCAGGAGTGCAGGGCACCCGCATGGCTCAGGGGGAGCAAAGGGGGAGGCAGGGACTGTGGCTCCAGAGTGAGGGGCACCAGCAGAGCCAGGGATCTGTGAGGGTCAGCAGCAGGAACTGGGGGGCTGCAGGGTGGAACTGAGGGGTACCAGCATAGCCTGGGGGGTGAGGGGCACCCGAAAGGCCAGGGGTCTGTGGGTCAGGAGTGAGCAGCAGGAGCAGGGATGGGGGGCTGCAGTTTGAGAGTGAGGGACAGTAGCAGGGCCAGGGGGTTGCGGGTGGGAAGTGAGGTGTGTCCCTTCCCTCCCTACCCCGATAGGCACCCTAATTTTTGAAACTGGAAATGTGGTAACCCTACCTGGGAGGCCAGTCTGAAGGGAAGAGGAGTCCAGGAGAGCTGGCTGTACTTTAAAGAAGCTTTACTGGGAGTGCAGGAACAAACCATCCCGATGCACAGATAGACTAGCAAGTATGGCAGAAGACCAGCTTGGCTTGGCAGGGAACTCTTCAGTAAACTAAATCACAAAAAGGAAGCTTATAAGAAGTGGAAACTTGGACAAGCTATTAGGGAGGAGTATAAAAGTATTGCTCAGGCATGCAGAAATGTAATCAGGAAGGTCAAAGCACAACTGGAGTTGCAGCTAGCAAGGGACATGAAGGGTAACAAGGGTTTCTACAAGTATGTCAGTAGCAAGAGGAGGATCAGGGGAAGTGTGGGTTCCTTACTGAATTTGGGAGGCAAACTAGTGAGAGAGGATGCATAAAAGACTGAAGTACTCAGTGCCTTTTTCACCTCAGTCTTCAAGGCAAGGTGAGCTCCCAGACTACTGCATTGGGCAGCACAGTTTGGGGAGGAGGTGAGCAGCCAACAGTGGCAAACGAACAGGTTAGGGACTGTAAAGGAACTCCATCCCAGCGTCCTGCCTTAGGCTTTTTTTTTTCCTCTTTGTCTCAGTCTTCTCACCTGTCCGTCAATCTGGTTGCCCGGGGTTATGGCGTATGTGATCTCAGGTAGGAGGATGGAGACCTAGCCTCTATTGTTTTGAGCTCTGGCCTCATGACCTGGGGGCAGGGGCTTGAGTCCCCATCAAGGTGTGTTGCTTTTCAAATTGGTTGGTCAGCATCAAACAACACGTGCCCCTGATTGGGTCTAGAAGGCAAGGTCAGGAGAGCTATTTAAGGGAGAGGCTCTCCAGGTCCCATATTGGGGCCTGTACACAGCAACTCGAACCTCTGCAACTCTTACTCTCTTCTAGGATCCTGAAGCGAGTAAATTACAAGAAGTGTAACTAGAAAGGTAGTTTACAGTAATTTAGAAGTGTATTAAATGGCTATCAGGCCAGTTCTGTTTGCTCAGGGTATTCTTTTGATACTTCTCCAACTTGTACCCCTCCCCAAGCCTATCCTCTCTACCCAATAAAGATATCTGCTATAACAAGCTTGAGAAGGATTGGGCGCGCCTTTTATTCCCTTGGCTCAGCTGGCCTGTGTAGCCTGTGGGGCACAGGGTGCGAGGAACAACCAGACCTCAGGTGGTGGTGGCGAGTGCTCCAGGAAGCGGGGTGGCCAGTCATAGGTCACCCCAGAGGACACAGAGCTTGGTAGGTAACCAGGCACAGTGAGGCGGGTGGCTCAGTGCAGGAGCGTGCCCTACTGGCCTGCCACAGGGACCATTTAGAAAAGCTGGACATACAAGTCCATGGGGCCAGATGGGATACACCCAAGGGTGCTGAGGGAGTTGGCTGATGTAACCACAGAGCCGCTGGCCATCATCTTTGAAAACTTGTGGCAATCAGGAGAGGTCGCACAGGATTGGAAAAGGGCAAACATAGTGCCCATATTTAAGAAAGGGAAAAAGGAGGATCCAGGGAACTACAGACCAGTCAACCTCACCTCAGTCCCTGGAAGAATCATGGTGCAGGTCCTCAAGGAATCCATTTCTAAGCACTTGGAGAAGGTGATTAGGAACAGTCAGCATGGATTCACCATGCCTGGCCAATCTGACTGCCTTCTATGATGAAATAACTGGTTCTGTGGATATAGGAAGACTAGTGAATGTGGTATACCTTGACTTTAGCAAGGTTTTTGATACGGTCTCCCACAACATTCTCGCAGGCAAGCTAAGAAAGTATGGGTTGGAAAAATGGACTGTAAGGTGGATAGAAAACAGGCTGGATCACCAGACTCAGAGGGCAGTCATCACTGGGTCATTGTCTAGTTGACAGCTGGTATCAAATAGAGTGCCCAGGGGTCGGTTCTGGAGCCAGTTTTGTTCAATGTCTTCATCAACAACCTGGGAGATGGCATAGAGTGCAGCACCCTCAGCAAGTCTGCAGATGACAAAGCTGGGGGGAGCAGTAGATATACTGGAGGGTTGGGTTAGGATTCAGAGAGACCTCTACAAATTGGAGGACTGGACCAAAAGAAATCTGATGAGGTTCAATAAGGAGAAGTACAAAGTCCTGCACTTAGGACAGAAGAATCCCATGCACTGGTACAGACTGGGGGCTGACTGGCTGGGCAGCAGCTCTGCAGAGAAGGACCTGAGGGTTGAAGTGGACAAGAAGTTGAACATGAGCCAACAGCATGCTCTTGTTACCAAGAAGGCTAACAGCATGCTGGCCTGCATTGGTAGGAGTGTTGCCAGCAGATCGAAGAAAGTAATTCTTCCCCTCTATTGAAATTGGTGAAGGCACATCTGGAGTACTGTGTCCAGTTTTGGGCCCCCTGCTATAGAAAGGATGTGGACAAGTTGAAGAGAGTCCAGCAGAAGGCAACAAAAATGGTTAGGAGGCTGGGGTGCATGACTTCTGAGAGAGTTCGAGGGAACTGGGCTTATTTAGTCTGAAGAAGAGAAGACTGAGTGGGGATTTGCTATCAGCCTTCAATTATCTGAAGGGTGCCCTGCCACACTTCCTCCACAGCTCCAGCATCAGCTCCATGCTAGTGGTGACTGCACGTGCACCTCAGGGTGGGCTGTGCTGCCTTGCTGTCTGCCCCGAGCTGCGCGTGCAGTTGCTGCCAGCATGGAGCTGATGCTGGAGCTATGGAGCCCAGCACTTGTTTGCAGCCTGCCCGCTGCTTGCTGCAGCTGCCCAGAGCCCAGGCTGGCTATAAACAGCTGCGCCAGGCTCCAGAGCCCAGTCACCAGCTCCGTGCCAGAAGCAGGGGAGAGACTGGGGCCTCAGGCCCCTCCCCCATCACCTGCTCCGAGGCGTGCATGCGTGTGCTGGTACAGAGCTGATGCCTGGGCTCCAGAGCCCGGTACAACTGTTTGCAGCCTCCCAGCTGCAGCCAAACCTGGCTCTCTGTAGCTGCTGCCAATCATGGAGCCCAGGCTGCTCCCAGCAGGGCTTGCAGCTTCCCTACTGCCAGCAGCCCGAGCAATATCGCTGGCAGCAGCTATTCAGAGCCGCGGCTGGCCATGGTGTGCAGAGCAAAATGGCCTCACGTGCCATGCTTGGCACGCGTGCTGGGGGTTGCCGACCCCTGCTCTACTATTCTCCCACCCCCACACCAAGCAGAATATATACAGCATCAGTTCATACGGATAGTTAAATAATTTATTGGTAAATGTCAACACCAGAATTAGAAGTGTCAGTACAAAAATAAAATCTAGCTTTACATTGTATTCTATTATACAAATATTTATTCACATTAGCTGTAGTAGTGAGATACAAAGTTAAATCAAGCCAGCACGCAGTTCGTGCACATCCAGGAAAAGCAGAGCCATGGATTCCAGCTCTAGGAAACAACTTCAGTGAAGGTAGCCTCTTGCAAGGCTTTTTGTTCCAATTAAGACCTTAATCAGGCCCTCTTGATAGGGTGCATCTCACCTGCAGTGGTGAGTCAGTGGCACTTACACTTTCATATTTTTCTACCAGCCCTTTAATAATTTTTTTTTGGGGGGGGGGGGGGGGTTTTGGATCATGACATGATAGAACTGCAATGCACCAATACAACCTTATTTTATTTTAAGAGCCCAACACAACAGTTTCAGGCGTTTAACAGGCTGATGAAGGGCTACTCTCTCCTAGGCATGAATTGTTCTATCCATCACCAGTGTCTTGCTTTAAAAAAAATAAACAACAGCTACATAGGGGAAGGCAGTGGGACTTTAGGAGCCTTTGCAAACAAAGTCTGAGTCAGCAAGAAGCTGACAGTTGAGGCTGCCCAGATCATCACATGCTGATATTATCTATTCACTTCTACAGTCCTCTATCTCTCCCACCAACAATTGTGTTTTTGTACAGGCTGAGGGCCAGATTATCAGTTAGTGAAAGTCAGCAGTCCCATTCCTTGCAAGGGAGCTATATCAGCTATAGAACCAACCCCAAGATTCTAGTACTTGCTCAAAATTCAATTTTAAGGGACATTAAAAAATTGAATCAGCAGATCTGATGGGAGAACAGAAAACTACAAAATCAAAATTACTCTCCCAGTAAGCTTGGATTGATTTAATCAAAAAGAAGGGCTAAGAAGGATTTCTCATGGTGGATCTCTACAGTTCAATGTTAGGTAAAGAATGTCCAACACTAAAAACTATAGAAAGCCATGCAAATGTTTGGCTATTACCTACAAAGTGAGCAGTCATACCCAAATGACTGCACAGTTGATATGACTGGTGAGTGTCTGATTATTCACCTTTACAAGGTCCCCGAAAACTTCACTGGACCTTGGCAAATTCAGATGAATGCCCATTGTACTCTACGTATGATTTAACACTCAAGCCATTTCAAATATGCATATTCAAACTCTTCAAGCTAAATAGACCAAAGAAGGTACTTAGCTTAAAAAAAGCAGGAAACCAGACACATTTTAGGTCTTCCACTTACTGAGTCATGCTGTTTTTTCTAGCTCTTTAAAAAATGGTTTTATTCAGGTCTAAACTATGGCATGCATTAACAGTCAAAACCATAATGAAATCCTTTGCTGCTGTCCTTTAGGCAAGTGAAAAACACACAGCAGGGAAAAAAGATGCCAAGAAGTTCTCTGAGGCTTATGACTAGAAAGCTCCTTTTTGGTGCCAATCACAGGCTCCCCACCAAATCTGCTCAATTTCAGACTGTTGATTCAACAAGAGATGAAGACAGTTAGCTCCACCTAGAGCCCTGGTCTGCCCTCTCTCAAGACCTTCTGCTCTTCAACATCACAACAATTATGCCTTTGCTGACTGGGCTTTCCAGTTGGTATATGATCCATGCAACTGTGGGATTTCACACAGCAAGAAGTGAAACACAAACCTGTGGAGCACAACAAATGCCCAGACCACCAGTTTCTAGTAACAGCCATAAGAAAAGGTTATAAGATATGACATCTACCCAACCTAAGCGTCATGGCAAGAAACACAAGACCTTTTATAGATAAATGAATTGGACACTTAGTAAAATCCATGGTAAGCCAAGCAAACAGCCAGGCATTTTGGACATGGGCTGCACCCTGCAACAATCTGAGATGAGCAGTGGGGAAGGGAAAAGATGTCCATCCAAAGATTAAACAGCTCTCTCTAACTCCTACTCTTATCTATTATAAGGAGTCTGTTGTGGTCAAGTTAGTCCACACTTGAGTATCCTTCTCCCACTCTACCTCCCCACAGGAGTGAACACAAGAGTAACAGTGGTAGATCTATATAGATTAGCTCACGTAAGATCTAGTTAGATGCTCCAGTGTTCAGTACAAGTTACTTGGTGTACAGTGCTAGAACAGCAGCTATATACAGTTTTAATACTGGGTAGCTAAAAATATATATATTCACATAAAGACTTTATCAAATTGCACAAGTTTTTACTTGATTAAAACTATTGTAGTTCAGACAGACTCTAGCTCTCATTAACTAACTCTTGAGAAACTGTTTCCTTTACTTGTCTCAAGTCAATCACTAACAGTTAAATCCCACCAGAATATTTACTTTCCTGTGACAAACGTATTCCTGTCCCCCTTTGTGGTGCTTTAATCCTAGATGACAATGGGTTCAAAGGGTTATTATAAAATGAAGTAGGAATTCAGTGCAAAAGGCAATCTGGTTTGGTAACAAAACAAGTACAGAAAAACACAAACATTTAAAAATGTTCCCTGGGGACTGGATGTTCTGCTCAAGGATACCTCTGACAGATGCCATCAGGGGGATCAATATGTAAATAAGGATCACACTCAGCACCATGAAAAACTGTGGCAAAGTCAGAGCTGACTACAGTTTAAAGTAATCCTTGGCATTAATCCTTAGTTTCTACGGGACTGTGGATAAACAAGCCTGCCAGAAAGGACAAACACTCTTAATGCACACAGCATATTCTGTCAACAGAGAAGAGACCAAAAAGAGATTAAAATAATCTAGAAAAGAGAAATGTAGAAGAGAGGTCACATTTCCTAGCAGTAGCTCAGGCAATGCTTTGAATATATTTCTATGAGGAAAGGCAAATCACCTGGGAATTTTCTGGCTCACCAAGCAGGCATCCAACCTACCATGAGATTTCAGAGACTTCAAGACCAGATATTTAGAATAGAGTATAGGCAGGGTTTGTACATTCTGCAATAATCACAGGCAAGTAGCCAGCTGGGACACATGACTGACACTTGCATATGATTTAATGGCAATTCTGCAGACAGCTGGGGAAGCTGTGTGTAAAGTTCTAAATGTACAGGCCTTGAAGCTTTACAAAATATACTTTTACAAATTCTATGAATGTAAACATTTAAGAACCCAAGTACTTGGACAGAGAACTAACAGCTCAGTAAAAAACAGGCTCCCTCTCCCCCACAAAGGGCTGCAGATCTAGAAGAATATATACAGACACCAGGAATTTCCAACTACTGATTGCTGGGGCAACTTCTATTCAGCCACCTCTTGTGCCTTTAACAGCAGATACATAAAGGCTGTTATACAGAGAAATTTAAGTAGTGCCCCTTTATCCAGATGAGCCCCTTGCACCACTGTTCACATTCACAGCTATTCAGCCATAGGTATCCACAATGATTTCTCATGTTGCTGTTTTGCTGCTAAAAACAACATCTAATAGTTGAAAAAAGGGGGGCAGAGAAAAGTTAGTAGCCTTATCATAAAAAGCTTTTTCACATTTTTTTTTTAAAAGATGGAGTGTTTTTAAGGTTTGTTACAATACGTAGAAAGTGCTTGCTGGACTTTGAAAATGCCACATTATTTAGCTGCAAATATTTTAACTGCAGAACCACTCTGTCACATTTTGGCTACTCTCCATTACTGCAGTTCGGTGCTTTCAGGAGTTGTAATGAAGTCTAACAAGTGCACCCTCCTTCCCCACCTCTCCAAAAAACGGAACATGGCACTTGGCATTACCAAAATGTAACAAAATAAAGTTAACAGGTTGATTTCTATATCAATCCAATCAAACAGACTGGAGACTGACAAAACAGCATATTCCGGTTTGAAGATATCTAAACTTTGCAGTAGTATCAGCGGAAGTGCCTTCCTTGTTTCCTCAGGAAGCGTGTATGTAGCAGTGCCATGAGACAATCAAACTGAGTTTTTGCTGTGCTGGTTTGCATGAAGTACGAAAGCAACAAAGTTTAAACAAGTTCCTCAATGCAACATTTGTTTGCAGCACACAGCTTTTCAGATTGGAGTCAGCAAGGTCTAGCTTCTCTTTCCAAACTGGAAGCAGGAACAAACCTTCCTAGTGACTGAAGTAGCCAGAGAAAAAGCAAACGTGTCCTGGATACAGCTAGAATCACACCTCCCTGTTATCTCCTGGTCAGAGACCAAGAAGTTGCAATATTCATCAACTATCTCTGCCATGTAACCAAGATTCTCTTCTTCCTATTTGTTCTTTGATCTCTTGTGGAATGCTACAGAGTTGCTAAAATCCGTAAAAATGAAACCACCACCACACAGAATGTCTGCCCCACACCTAAAATGAGGGCCTCAAAGGGGATCATTTTTTTTCCTGCAGCTCTGTAAACTCCAGCAATAGCAGCACCTGGTTTGGAAGAAAGAAAAGGTATTAATATGCTAGACAAATCTGGAATAGAAACATAGCTGTACTATGGGCATGGGCCTAAAGGGCCAAGCTTGCAATCTGATTATTTATGATTAGAGATCTATGCCACTGCCCATGCAGTGATTCATACCCTCCCCCCCACAACCTCTAAGTAAACTGCATATAATTGTGCTTATAAAAAGTAGCATAAAAAACACTGCCTTGGCTATGTCATTCTTTCAGTTATTGATATTTAAATAAAACATTTCAAGTACATTTTAAAACTCAGTTGGCTAGAACTGAATCTTCCTGATATCTTTTTGCTCTTCAACTGTTCACTTCATCAATGCCTAGAACAGCAGACTGCACTTAGTGAGACATGCCAGTGTTCTTTCAAGGATGGATTTGTACTGCTGGTTAAGACTAGAGTTGTGAAGAGCAGTTCATGTGTAGAAAAATATAGTACAAATGCTCCAGCTTTATGGCTGGAGAGCCACCAAGTTGCCTCAAAGGTGCTCTCACCAGCCAGGGGGGAACCTCTCTGGCAGGCTCTATGATCCACAGCTCGTCCCCTTGTTTCCAGGATGGCAGCGCCAGCTTTTGCTGCTGCAAGAACAGAGGCTCTTCCTAGGGCTCTTGCAGGAGCTCTGACAGTGGGAAGAGGAGCTCTTTCTGAGGTTCCTATGAGGTTGGGCCTTCCTATTGCTGCCTGCCTCACAGAAATGGAACCTTTCTGGTGTTCCTGCAACAGTGGTAGCTCTTCCCTTGGCCTCCCACAGCAGTGGTGGCAGGGAGCCAGCTGCTCTCCCTTGTGTTTTCCCCCTAGTTGATTCAACTGTAAAAAGGCATTTGGACATTCAGGCTAGGGAGACAGAGGTGGCTGGATACAATGCTAGTCATGTCACCCTCCTGGTATGCCACTGACTAGAAACTACAAAGCCTTAGTCACGCTAGCCCGATAGGCTGTTAGGCTTGGGCGAGGCTTTAACTTGTCAGACCAGCATATAGAATCTTCAGGAGGGAAGCACTACAGCCCATATAATGTGTGCCAGAGTGACAATGACCACAGTACAAAAAATAATTATGATAAAATTCCTCTCTACAGACATTTGCTAAGGTCTTGCTGAACTGTCTACTGTTTGCAACTTGTTCAGATAAACTCTACTTACTCAATAAATCAGACACCTGCATATCAGGAACTTACATACCTAACCAAGACCCCTTTTACTGTATTAGGTCTACTTTCATAGTTTCACAGTTGGTAGGGTCGGAAGGGACCTAAGCAGATCGTCAAGTCCGAGCCCCTGCCATGGGCAGGAAAGGATGCTGGGGTCAAATGACCCCGGCTAGGTGACTGTCTAGCCTCCTTTTGAAGACCCCCAGGGTAGAGGCGAGCACTGCTTCCCTTGGAAGTTGGTTCCAACTCCTAGCTGCCCTGACAGTGAAGTAGTGCATCCTGATGTCCAGCCTGAATCTACTCTCAGTCAACTTATGGCACTTATGGTAACAGTTCCTTATTACCCTGGGTAGTGCTCGGGGGAACACGGACTATCCCATTGCCTGCTGGTCCCCCTTGGCAAGTTTACAGGCGGCCACCAGACCTCCTCTCAGCCTTCTTTTGTGGAGGCTGAACAGGTTCATGTCCCATAGCCCTTCCTCATAGGACCTGCCCTGCTGCCTCCTGACCATGCGAGTGGCCCTACTTTGGACCCTCTCGATGCTGTCCACATCCCTCCTGAAGTGCGGCGCCCAGAACTGAACGCAGTACTCCAACTGCAGCCTGACCAATGTTGCATAGAGGGGGAGGATCACCTTCTTGGACCTGATCGTGATGCATCTATGGATGCATGACAAGGTACGGTTAGCCTTCCTGACCATGTCCCCACATTGGTGGCCCATGTTCATCTCGGAATCAATAGTGACACCAAGATCCTTTTCTGCCTCTGTGCTGACAAGAAGGGAGTTCCCCAGCCTGTAGGTATGCTGCTGGTTCTTCCTCCCCAGTGTCATATTGACTGTAATAGTTTGAATGTTTGTAATAGTTGCCCATTAGCCAGTTTAGAAAAAGACAAGATTCATCTTTTTATCTAGGCCATTGTTTTGGCCTACGTGCGGAAGGTTCGGGCTTTGCTCAAAGTCTTAACTCCTGAATTTTATCTTTAGAGGCCTTTAACAAAGTTAACCTAAAAACAACCCTCAAGCAAACATCCCGAGAGACCAAACCCTAGGGGCCTTTGGAAAGATTGGAAAGAAAGGTCACTGCAGTGGTGTGGAAATTCCCCAAAGTAATTAAAACGGTCAAGAAAAGAAACTGAACCCAGCAGAAATCTGTTAAGAAAGATCCGAGCCCAAATTTGGGAGTAGTGACAGGTTTGGGTAGGAGGGGCCCAAGACAGCAACTCACTCAATAAAAACTGTAACCTACTGTCCCAATTTGGAGGCAACCTCACTTGCAGAACAACGAAGGAAGAATCGCAAGTGTAGGCCGGATCAGACTGATCACCTGAACCACCCTCTCCGTGAACACGAATCTCTTCGTTCACGCTGAAGCCGCGGAGCACCCAAAATGGACTGAAGGAAAGGGACTTAGTCCTATCAGTATTGAGGCCAGCCCATTGAACCGTATTGCTGAGGCGAGCCCATTGAACTGTACTACTGAGGCCAACCCATTAAATTGTACTACTGAGGAATGAAAGCATATCTAGGTGTTTGGCTTCTCAGAATTCTAGGATTGTAAGTATATTATGAAAAATAATAGTATTGATTCCAAGTTAACTTTGAGTTGTAATTGTAGTTGTTTTTGTAATACTAATTCTTATAGCATTGTTTGGGAAGGAAGTGCATTTGGAGCATTGTTTCTGATATACGTAGTTATTGTGTTCTTAATGTTTGTGGTATTTCTTAAAGCTAAGCAGTGTTATATGCGTAGCAAAGAATTTTAAAATAAAATTGTGTTGTATAAATTAAGCGTGCAATCATTGTGAAATCGTGCAATCAACTAGATACTCCCCCAACCAGTGCATCAAACTAATCAGTAAGTTGTGTGGGATTTTCTCTATTCCATAACCCACTAGAGACACCCAGGTGCAACACCTTGCACTTGTTCGTATTGAAACCCATCCTATTCTCATCTGCCCATGTCTGTAACCTGTCCAGGTCTAGTTGTAGCCTGTCCCTCTCTTCTAGCATGCTCACTTCTCCCAACATCTTAGTGTCATCTGTGAACTTGAACAAGGTGCTTTTCACCCCCTCGTCCAAATCGCTGATGAAGATATTGAACGGTGCAGGCCCTAGGACCCAGTCCTGGGGAACTCCACTGCCCACATCTCTCCAGGTTGAAATTGACCTATCCACCACCCAGAACTGGACAACTATTTTAATTGTGGTTCAACTTTGAAAATGGATAAGTGGTATACTTTGGTTCCACAGTAAAAACACAGTTAGTTTTGAAATCTGCAACGGTTGGCACTAAAGACAAAGTATTTAAGAACTGTAGGAAAAGGATTAATATTTTCAAGCTCTTGGGACTGAGACATTATTCTGCGGCCTAAGCCCATTTTTCCATCATGAGGAATGTTTCAATTTAGCAAACTTCTGAAACGACCACTAATGAAGACACCCTGGCCAGTCAAACTAATATTTTTGAAGGTCTAACATACTTGTTAAGATGCCAGCAGTAATTGGTCCCACGATGCCCATCAACAGGATGCTTACAGACATAAACCTACCATATTTGTGATGTCTGAGGGTGAAGAGTGCAAGTAATCCTGCAGGTACATGGAAAGAGAGAGAGGACACCAGTGCCCACAGGAATACACCATACCACATTTCTGCAAGGGAAGAAGACAGTGGGTTGAGACTCAGATAAGGCTTTTCATTCCCACTCTTAATATGACAGCTGTTATAGGCTCCCATCAGAAACACTGCTCTGATTGTTCTGAATACAGGCAGTCCTCAGCTTACAACATTTCGCACTTACAGTGTTTATAAATTGACACCATTTCAACCTTATAACGTCAGTTTTGACTTTACAACACTTGATCTGATGTGGCGCCATGCCAGCAAACCAGTTCACTGCGTTGCTCATCTCCCTGGAGAATGTCTGTCCAAACTTCCTTGGACACTTGCTTTAAGAAAGCAGACAAGACTGCAGAAAAACCTACAGCCAAGACTCCTGAGAAGACTCCAGCCAAGAACCCTTCAAAAAGTCCAATCAAGTCACCTCAAAGAAGTCTTTCCAAATCAGTATAATTGCTATTTACAATATAAATACATTAATGTAGCTATATTACTCATCTATAGTTGACCGAGTATAAAATTCTGGGGTATTTTTGGTGAAAATAGGTATCAGGCCTTGGTTCAGGAACCAATCCCCCATTTATAACATTGTTTCTTATGAGAAAATTGGTTCCGAGTTACAACGTTTCGACTTAAGATAAAGTTTTCAGGAACCAATTGTGTTGTAAGTCCGAGGACTGCCTGTACTGCAAAACTACATACTGAGACAAGGTTCTCATCATTAAGAGTGTAAAGACAAGCCCCAATTCAGTCAAAGGGGAAGAAAAGCAATGATACAAAAGTACAGGCCTAGTACTTGAAAAAGCATTAGGGGTGCACTGATAAAGATTTTCTTGGTCAATACCAATAGCCAATTTATTAACTAGGCATACCAGCCAATACCAAGCTGATAGCCAATTTACAGAAATGCAGCTGGGCAGCTTGGAGAACAGCATCCTGCTGGTAAGTCTGTGAAGAGGGAAGGGCAAGGCAGATCGAGGCCCCCCCCCTCAGTAGCCCCATGTTGCAGGGCAGGTAGGGGATGCACGACCAGCGCAGGGCTCCAGAGGGAAAGGCAGGAGAACGAAGTGCTCAGAGCAGGGGTGGTGCAAGGGGGGGGCAGAAATTCCTTGTAGCACCCCTGTAGCTGCCCCTCCCAGCGCTGCTGCCACTTGCCCCACACAGCTGAGCCCACCCCACTCCCCCCTCCCTGCAGGAGGATAGGGATGGGCAAAATATGAGCAATGGCCAGATCCAGTCCACCAGGCAATTCCATCCAGCCTGCAGGGCCCCTCCATAAGCCGATAGACTTGTCACAGGGCCTGGTGCTCACTGCAGCTCCATGCAGGAGGTACAGCTCTGGTAGCTAGGGAAACACCCCTTATCTCAGCCCTAAGCCACAGAGCGCTAGAGATAAGAAGCTTCTGCCTGGCAGAGCTTTTGCTTGCCTACCCCTTCCCAGAGGGGAAATTCAGGTAAGGGCCCTATTGAGCCAGGGCCAGGAGCGTGGGGAGCCACATGTTATGGGGCTGGCCCCACACACTACAAGAGTACCAGAGCTGCACGCTATGAGGCTGTGGGGGCACTGGACCTGCACACTGCTACCACATGAGGCAGGGGTCTCAGGTGTGAGTGAAGAAGCTGCACACTATGGGGCTGGCCCCAAAAGCTGCCATTGTGTGTGGCTGGGGTCTTGGCCAGGACTTGTGTCATGGGGCTGGGCAGGGCTGGCCCCGCACACTGCTACCATGTGGGGACTTGGGCAGGAGCTGCATGTTATGCTGTGGCCATGTGAGGCCAGGGACTCAAGTGGGAGTGCAGGAGCTGCGTGCTATGGAGCCCGGTGGAGCTGGCCCTGCTCTCTGCCACATGCAGCTCCAGGGACTCGCATGCTCTGGGGACTCCAAGGATCATCCCTCCTCCCCCTGCAACAAAAACACCCCCCCCACACCCCATTTTGAGCTATTATGCAATTGCCTCTAGATACAGTACGCCAGTATTTTTCAATCTTTTTTAGCTTAAGTGACCCTGACGGCTCGATGCCAAGCAGGGGGAGGTTATGGGGAGGAAGGAGAAGTGCACAGCTGAACACTGAGGCAGGGGGGATTTGCGCAAGGCTGAACACTGAGTGGGGGTGGAGTGGGCAGCAGCACACCACCGGATGCCAAGTGGAGGGGGTAGCACATGGCCGGACCCCGAATGAGGAGGCTGGGACGGAGCGCTGCCATCTCACAGGAGCAGGGCCAGGGTAAGGCGGGGAAGCTCATCAGGCTGGTGTGTGGCAATGGTGGCCGTTGTGTGCAAGCTTCCCTGCCCCGCAGAGGAGTGCCACTGCCCTTGCCCCGCCCCAGCTCCTAAGAGGCAGCAGCACTCAGTCCCTGCCTATATGTACCCCCTAGGACTGGTCCAAGTACCCCTAGCAGTATGCACTACCCCTAGCACAACCCCTGCACTGTGCAAACACACGTAAACCAGGACAAATTTTTTTTTGGAATAAAATAAAAATGCTATAGTAGATGTTTGTTTTTTCAGTATATACATTTTTTTCTTGTTCCAAGATGGCAACTCCTTCCCCTCCAAAAAGGAGTACTTCTGGGACAAGGGGAAGGACTTTAGGTAGAAAAGGTCAGGGGTTAGGGACAGCTGCTCCCAAGATGGCAACTAGGGGCAGGGCACCTATCAAGGGGTGCAGCTACCTTTGCAGCTCTTGACAGCTCACCAAAACTTGTTAAGCCACCCTCCAGCCAAAATAATTGCCCACTCCTGAGTTGGAATAGCCATGCCTAGCATCTATATGGGTATTTCCCATACTTCTGGGTTTGCTGGTTACCAGATGGGGCTGGAAAATAATTTTTCCCCTCCACTTGCTACGCATGTCAGGAGGCAGGGATTTTGCCTTTCCCAGAAGTACTGGTTGCTGCTGCAACCAAGGCTAGGGATTTTGGCTGGGGTGTGTGTATGCTGACACTTTAACCCAGAGGTTCCTGGATAGCGTCTTACCCCCTGTTCAGGATCAGACCAATTGCCATATTTGGTATCAGGAAAGAAATTGACCTCTTGAGACTGTGGGGGGTTTTGCCTTTCTCTGTGAGGGGATGGCCTTTCTTCCTTGGCTCTCTAGAGCATATTTTAACAACCCTTGACTGCTGTGGTCTCCCTGTCCTACCTGTGGCAGGTTATGGTGTTACGCCTTGTGGTTGTATCAGGGTGACTTTGTAGTGTTACTAGTTAGACAATGGATTTGTATATAATGGTTTGGATAGGGATGATCCTGCCTCTGGCAGGCGGCTGGAATAGATGACCACTGGAGGTCCCTTCCAGTCCTACTTTTCTATTCTATTATGAATGTTACATGTAAAAAAGCCATGTTAAAAAAAACATATTAAAGTTGCAAAGTCAAGCAATCAAAACGTTAAGAATTACCAGATTTTGGGTTGCATACGCAACTCTCAAATGCAAAGACAACTGGATACACTAAGGCTCCACAGGCAGCAGCACAAGACAAAGCATCGAAAAAAGGAAGTAATAAGCCAGTGATCCTCAGCCAGGGTGCCGCAAGATCCTTTTTAATGTTGCAGTGCAATATTAGTACTACTAGATGTGCAAACACCTGCATGCAATTCACAAGATAAGCCTAGAGAGTTCAAATAGTAATCCAGTGTCCATAACACACTGACCTGCCGCAAGTTCCCTGCAACAAAGGAACTGCTCTATTATTTTTCCATAGTCACGAAGCAAGTGAAAGCTAAGAGCTGCCATTTGGGCTCCTTGAGTCAAAAAAGACTGAGAACAGCTATGCTAACCAACAAGCTGTAACTGGAACCCTGAGTCTAAAGTGTGCAGGGACACAGCCCCCTGCTCCTGAGGCTACAGACTACTCTGAATCAGAGACTGAAGTCCAGAAGTGCTTTCAACAATTCTGGTTTGTGAAGTGACAAGAGAAAACGCCAGGGTGCGCCCACACAGGCTGATCCTGAGCATGCAGCACAGCTCCTCCAGGAAGGGCGAAGTCACATGTGACACCTAAGCCACACTAAAGGCATGTGAAATACTGACGTCCACACGATCAACTTCATTACCTCATACTAACTGCCCTCCGCGAGTCTCAAAGTTAAGCCGCTTCAGGAGAGGGCCGCGATACCTCGCTTGTGTTCAGTCCACCCCACTGAGATGAAAACGAACAATTTGCAATCCTCCAGCTCCCAGGCTGCGTGTCTCCCAGGTCCACCAGAGCCAGGACAGAGCTCAGCCCCCAGCCACACCCCTCCTAACCCCAGCCCTTCCCGCACGCTCGCTGGCCCCCGTCTGCTCCAGCTTGAGGGTCCCTACCACAGACCGAGGGCGGCTCAAGCCTGCCTGTGCTGGCTCCCACCCCGCGAGCTGCCGCCCGACGCCCCTCGGGGGCTGCGCTCCAGATGCTGCGGGCGGGGGGTGGGGCGGGCAGCAGC